TTTGTGGACAAACTTCTTAACTTCATCACATCCAAACCTGCAGAAGTGGGAAGTGGTTAAAATTCTATAGTACATCCTGCGACAGAGTACCTTCCTGCACCTCTGCCTTGCAGAGCAGATCCACAAAGCCTTAGCTACTCATTTGAGCCAGCAGGCGAGTCAGACAACCGTTTACAGTTACATCTGGGCTGGTGGTGGCCCTGGATGTCAATGCAACCCTGGAACATGTGCAGGATCCGCAGAGCACTGTGAAGATCTGGACCTTATAGCCATATGGCCAGGTCCACATGATCCACCCTATCACTCAAATGTGTTTCTCCCATGCTGCCTGAACAAAGCCATGCCAGATGGAAGCCTGCTGCTGGCCTACAGCTCCAATTGAAGCATTCCAAAACCCTTCTGGATTGAGGGTGGTGAGGAGTCATCCCAGGTGGAAATGAGCATCGAGGGCACAATCCCTTTCGGCAAGTCTGTGAAAGTTCATGTAATACCCAAACCTGCAAGGTGCTGAGTCACAATAGGTCTTTATAGCTATAACCTACCAGACCTTTCCTCCTAAGTATTGGAACCAGAACCCTGGAGCACTTCATCTAGAAATAGTGTATAAGCTTAAGAGCTTAACCCTCACAGTCTCATCTGATATGAAACACAGGGTAAATTATTTTGCTTTAAAATAACGAAAACCAGGCCTCTCTGGTGGCACAAGGGGTTAAGCACAGCACTATGAAGCTATCCACAGCCTCTGCAGCACGAGTTCGATCCGTGGCCAGCCAAGGAGCTGCCCACATGGCACAGCAGACCTCTCCTGTCTTGCCCGCTGCTCCCCTCAGCAGTGTATTTTAGTAGATATGCCTGTTCTGTTCCCCACTGTCTCTGGGTGAATCCTCTCACCCCCCACACTTCTGGCCTGTACCCCAGTTCTTGTCTGCATAAATAAATCTTTAAAAAAGAAATAACAGAACCTTCAAGACTACTTACCATGTCCCTCATTCCCCCAAGAAAAGTTGAGAAAACACCAAAAAAAAAAAAGAGAAATTAGACAGCTGACATGCTTCAGAGAAATTAAATATATGCTCTACTCAAATGTGTGACTTAAGCTCTACTGCCTGAGCTTACACAAAAAATACATTGATCACTGATCTGTGCCATGTCATCACGTTTCCTTGAGGCTTAACATCAATCATTGAAATTTTTTAGCTTTAACTTCTTCATTCATGAAATCCAGGATCATGAAAAGGTTCTGAAACACTCCTTCTACAAGTATATATAGTATATATGCAGTATATGTATTACAAGTATATGTGTGTGTATTCATATTTAATTTTTGGGTGGTATATTCTCAATATTGATGCCTGATGTAGAAGAATCTATGTCTAATACCCCCAAATCTGAAGGATGCATTAGCACTGACGGTAGTCATTAATAATCAGGGTTCATAGATCCCTACATATTACTACTATCCAGTAGTTTTTTTTTTTTAAGGTTTATTTATTTATGCATACAAGAAGTGGGGTGTAGGCCAGAGGTGCGGGGGTGTGTGTGTGAGAGGATTCACCAGAGGCAGAGTGGGGAGCAGAACAGGCAGATCTACTGAAATATACTGCTGAGGGGAAAGTGGGAGAGACAGGAGAGATCTGCTGCACCATTTGGGTTAGCTCCCTGGCCAGCCGTGGATCCATCTTGCTGCAGTGGCAGTGGATAGCTTCACAGTGCTGCATCTTAACACCTTGTGCCACCGGGGAGGCCCTACTAGCCAGTAGTTTCAAAAATTTCTCTGGGTGCATATTTTCACAAGTACTAATATCTAGTAGATTGAGGTTTGTGTCTACATTAATTAAAAATTTCCCCATCCCCCTTTTTAGTTATTTCATCTATCTAATGCCAAAAACTTGTTTGTGTCTCCCTTCTCTCCACTCTTCCACAACTGAACAGACTGCAGTGTGACATGCATAGAGCTGGGGGTGTCAGATTGACCTCGAGATTTGCTTTGGCTTTGTCACCAACTATTTTGTGGGTTCAGCACTGCAGCAGCAGGAAGACAGTGCAGGTTTTCTATGACCTGAGGAAACAGGTAAAGGAGAGTCCTGGAGCCCTTGGTGGCTTTTTCAGGCTTTGAGATTTTACCAGGTACATGGCAGGCAGGGGTGCCAGGGATGGGGCCAGGAGTCTGGCAGGCCTCCCAGTCCCTGGCTCTTCACTCTTTCTGGGCTCTCCGGTGTTCTCTCGTGGTCTCATTCTCTCTCTTCTGGTTCTCTTTCATTCTTTCATTCTGTCTTCTGCTGGTTCCCCGTGATGCCACTCTAATGAGCCCAGTCTCTCAGCCCAGGTGTACCCACCTACATATGCCCACACCCCACTCCAGGTGCCCACCATCAGGCATGCACATAGGACTGCAGGGATCCATTATTAACGCTATGGCAGGAGGGCAGAAAAGCCAGATAATCACTTAACCTACAGTCAGCACTCCCTTAGGGTTGTCTGCCATACAGTTTATAACAGAATACAACTGAGCCCAGCCAGGCACCAAACTAGGGGCAAAAGACAAGATTATTGGAACCAGCAGATGATCCACTACATATGCTGCTGAAAGCACTGCTTATGCGAGTGGGGACCCACTCACGGCATCTGCCATCACATGCCAGGAACCATCAGCCTTCTCTGGCTGTGGTCTCGGCCACAAGTCACATACCACATCCACCTCCAGGATACACTCATTCTTGGATTGACGATTCTGTACTCTTTGGGGGTAATCGCCCAACCCTCAGGGTTTCTGTCTGCAGTCATTCCAACACTCAGCTTTCATAACCACCAATGCGACACACAGACCCCTGCACTCAGGCCAACCCTTTGCATATGCACATGGGTTGGGGATCCGTGGATACAAGCTCCACATGCGGCCTCTCTTGGATCCCTTCTTCGGCTCCACCACAAGCCACGTTCCCCACCCGTCCCCCAAGGATGGGTTCCTCAGTCCTCACCCTCACTCAACAATGAACAGGGCATCACCCACAGGTAATTTTAAGAGACTCACTGGCCTTCTTTAACATACTTAAGTGGCTAAATAGCTGCTCAGGGTTTCCCAATTTTAGCATCAGCTTTTGCCTTACTAAATTGGCTTTCTGATACATCTCTTCCTGGCTGCAGAGAACTTGGCGAGGGCTTCCTCCCTCAGCCAATCTTGGGCAGTTCTCATGCCTGCCCCTTCCTCTACTCTGGCGATTGCCTCTCTACGCTGTGGCCCTAGGATTGCTGGGAAGCACACAGGCTGCTTTTGGTCACTAAGGCCCACTGGACATACCTTGGTTCCCATTCCCTGGGGTGTACAAACGACACCATCCAACCCCAGGGTCCCATAGTTATAACATCAACCTGCCAAAATTCTTCCACCTTCTGGCGGGATTGTCAGTCCAAGTCCATCGGCTTTTTCCTTGCATTAGCACTGGGCGAGCTCTGAATATGGTCCTCTTTCTTCTAGATTGTGTTGCTTCAGGGCTTGTGGGCTGGTCCTTGCAGGCCATCTCTCTTCCACTCAAGGTCTTGTGCCACAGCTTCCAGACCTTGTCCACCTCCTGTGCTCCTGCAGTATCTTTAGCTCTTCCAGCAGCTTCTGGACTCTGGTCACTACCTGTGCTGCCATGGCACGTCCAGCATTGTCACATGTTCATAGTCTGCTACTCCTCAGTCCCTCCTGAGGTCTTCAGAGGGCTCCATACCAGTCTGCATTGAATCATCCTGCCATCTACACCAAATGTAGAGGCAGGAAGGGCACAGTGCAGGTCTTCTATGAACCGAGCAGATGGGTAAAGGAGAATCCTGGAGCCCTCGGTGGCTTTTCAGACTTTTATTGGGCTTGTATCAGGTACAAGGCAGGCAGCCTCCCAGCCCTGGGTGAATCTTCACTCTTTCTGGGCTCTCCAGTGTTCTCTCGTGGTCTCATTCTCTCTCTTCTGCTTCTTTCATTCTGTCTTCTGCTGCTTCCCCATGACGCCGCCCTTATGAGCCCAGTCTCTCAGCCCAGCTACGCCCACCTACGTATGCCCACACCCCACACCACATCAGGCATGCACGTAGGACTGCAGGGATCCATTATCAACGCTAATGGTGGGAGGGCAGAAAAGCCTGATAATCACTACCCTACAAGCACATACTGGGTTATTTAAAAATGTTGAATGTTTGTTTCTTAAATTCTCTTGGCCTTAATTTTCTTATTTCACAGGACAGTTTTCACCTGTGACAGATGCTATCAATTGACTATCTGTAGTCATTTCAAACCCACATTTCTTGGCTAGCTTCTTAGGATATAATGGAGACTGGGAAATGAAATATGACTTTGCTCAGCCTCCCTTGCAGCCAACCCTGGTTCATGTGACCTAAGGGGCAATCTGCTTGAGGGTTTCAGGGAAGGGTTATTTCCCTACCTAAAGTGGCAGAGACGTCTATTTCCTGCCGCATGCGCCTTGCCTTGAAAGCAGTTATCAGGGAAAGAGACGCCTGTAATTGTGATGACCGTTTTGCCTCCACATGTAAACAAGCACGAGGATGAAAACCCAGCATTTTAATAATGATGAGAGACAGGAAGGGTCTGGGTCCTCAGCCACATTGCTGAGTCATTACACCTTTTGAGCTGTTTACCCATGGACTTCTTATATGAATTAATCACACTTTGTTAGCTCTTAAAGTCAACGGTAGCTCTTAAGTCAGTTTTATTCCTTTTTGTAGCCAAAGTCACATCCTACATCTTAACTACTTCAAAGTCATGAACTTTAAAGACACTTTATTCTATGATTCTTTTTCCTCCAGTGCTGAACAAATCAAATATTTTCTTTGTATTGTCTAATTATAGATGAGTTTCGTTTCCTTGCCTGTGTTCTTTTGTAGAGGGGATAGCAAGCAGTTAAATATTGATAAAATTAATTACGGAAAAAATTAGGATTTCAAAATAACTCACTTTTATATACTTAGAAAATAATCATGAGGAAAATACACTTAAGCTGGAGTACCTCAGAGGGCTGATCCCTTTTTTTCTTCCTTTTCCCCAGAAGACTTAGGAGGCTACATGAGCAGAAATACAAGAAAAATTTTAGTAAGTCACTCTGTTACCCATTAAAAGAAAGAACTTCAATCTCAACAGTTCCTCCACCCCCAAGTAATTTATACATACCCAAGGAATAGAATTGCTTCCGTATACAGGATGAAACATCCAGTGAAGAAAGTGACATCAGCACAATGGAGAAAAAATCTGGTTTTGTATTTGCATTATGTCTCTGATCTGGTTATGTGAAATTCCTTTACAAAGTCCAAGAAAGTGGAACTGAAAAGAGATATAGAAGCACTTGTTCAAAGCCCCGTTGAGCTGTCCACATGGGGCAGTTTCCTTTGGGAGGCACAGCGCTTAGTACCAGCAAAAGAGACAGAGTAGAACTTGTACCTCAGCATCTGTGAAAGTTTTGCTCTAATTAAGTTGCTGTGAATAATGGGACTTTCCATAAACATATATTATAACCATAGAGTACAGTTTGAGTAACACAACTCTTTATTCTGGGGGCTCTTCCTGTATTTCACCTGACCTGCCTCAAATTCTCAGTGTGTACCTTCTGGTGAGTTTGCACGTTTGAACAGTCAAAGCCTTTTAGTGCTCATCAGAAAAATGTCCTTTTGAATAGGTAGTTTTTAGGTAATAATTTTTAAAAATGTATGAAATAGTCATTGATAAAACAAATTGTACCTAAAGAATATTTGTCAACTATGCTGCCCTTTTATTTATTTTTTCTTGTTAATCTCATGCAAAGGAGTGAACATTCTTTCCCCTTAGATGCATGTATATTAGTCTTCACATTTTTCTAAGTTTACAGTTAGGGAAGAAGTACAGAAATTCCTGAGTAAAGTGAGAATGTCAGAAGTCAGACTCAGAGAGGGAGCCGGTGGTGGGAGAAACAATGAAGGACTGGACTTCTTTTATCACCTATCTGGACATGAGTTCCTAATTTGTAAAGTGAGGCAACTTTCCTAAAATTATATCTAGAATGATTCCTTATAGCCTTTATGTGCCATGATCAATTAAGTGTCTTTTGAATTAAACTAAGGCTAGTCACTATTTTTTCTAAAAAGTTTGTCTTCCACTATAAAAATTATTTCAAAGGAACAAATCTGTTGTAACTTCAAAAGGATTTTAAGTAGTTTCTCTTTCATCACGTTGTCTTCTGTAGGCAATGTACATCTTGAGCAAGATGTCACTATGCTTTTTTGGTGCTTGATTTCTCTTTTAAAATTGTGATCGTGATGCCTGACACTGTATATAATATAACTATTTTTAGGATACCATTTTTAGGATACTACTTTTCTTTTCTGAAAATGGGTTTATAATTATGTTTCAATGAATGTATTATAATTAAGCCTAGGGATTTTTTAAAAATATAAACAGGTTGCAAAAATTTTTAAAAGGGGCAAGAAGACTTTGGGAGGTGCTGAATATATTCATGGCATAGATTATGGTAACTTATCACCTATATCTTTATCTCTAAACTCATGGAGTTCTATATATTAAACATGTAGAATCTTTCATGTACCAACAATACCTCAATAAAATGGATTAAAAATTGTTTTTACCAGAGACACACTATGAGGTGGGGGGAAGGAAGGAGTAGGATCAAAACAAGGGGGGTGGGAATTGTATGGGGACTATAACCAAGATGAAAATGCATACATTGTGCAAATGCATACATTGTGCAAAAATGAAAAATGATGTAAAAATGTATAAAATAAAAAATGTTCAAAAATAAATAAATAAGTGGAAAAATTGTTTTTAGATTTCTTTAGCACATCATTGTTAATTGATAGGAAGTATTAGAATTATATGATATTTATGGAGACTGTGTTAGCTTGTGTAAGAGAAGCTGAGAACTCATGTAGAAAACTTAAAAACCTCAAGAAAATAAGTAATTATTATCTTTTAAAAAATTCTGGCAGTAGACTAAATAGTCTGTTCAATATGAGAGAAACCCAATTCATTATGATGACAATGACGAAAGTGCTATTATTAGCTGAGTGCCTACTATGTGCCAACTGTTATTCAGCATTATAATTTTTATAAATGCAATATGAAGAACGTGTTATAAACTCTCTTTGCAGATAGAGAAATTGATACTCAGTAGAGCTAGGAAGTAGCACTGGCATTTAAACTCACTTCCATTATGACAGGCTGAAAGATACTTCTGTTGATTCATTTAAATTAAGGAGACTTTTTGAATCCAAAGCATGGTATACACAAATATAAGATAAGTGCCTGAATGAAAACCCTAATTTAGTAGAAAAGAAAACAATAGAAGAAAGGGTAGGGATATGAAAAAAAATAGCAAACTTTTTGAATGCTTGAGGACCTGTTGTAGGTGCTTTGTGAATATAAACACATTTAAAGTTCATAGCAACTTTTGGCATAGGTACTATTGTCATCACCATGGTTTCTCTGAAAAATCAAAATCAACAAGCAACTATAAACCAGAGAGAGACACACTATGGGGCAGGGAGAGGGAGTAATATCAAAACAAGGAGGGGTGGGAAATGTATGGGAACTAAAACCAAGACGAAAATGCATACATTGTGCAAAAATGAAAAATGATGTAAAAATATAGAAAATTATAAAAATTAAAAAAAGAACCATAGGCAGAGAAAGATTAAGCAGCTCTCTCCATGTCCTTAAAAATAGGAAATAACTAGCAGCCCAGGGAGTTTATGGTGGTTGCCTTTATGTATAGATAAAACATTATCCCTACCCTTTAGAAGTTCATCGGCCAATGAGAGGGAGAGAGAGAGAGGGAGAGAGAGAGAGAAAGAGAGAAAGAGAGAGATAGTGAGAGAGCGAGAGCACCTGAGAAAGAGAGAGGGGGAGAAACTAAGTGCACAACATTAAGGATCAAATATAGGCTGAGTTCCAGGAGGGTTTCACTACAGATGGAGGATTAAGCTGGGTCACGAATGACTACAATTTGTCGAGGCCAGCAGCAAAAGGTAAATAAAGGGAAGAGAGTGAAGAGGCACCATGTCTTCAGGGGTACCATCTTCCCCACTCCCTCTATACCTTCTTATGGCTTGTGTGATGCTGCTGCTGCTGCTTAGAGCCTCTGATTTACCCACCTCAGAGTCCCAGCCCTTCCTTAGGTTCTAGCAGATGGATGACCAAACATATTTCTATGCAAAATGGATGATCTAGGTCCAAGGATTCAGTGATCTTCTCGTAAGTATTCTGTGAAGAAATGAAAACTCTGAATTTGAAGAAAGTCAAGGAAGTAGCTGCAGTACTACTGGATATTAACACAGTGCCCAAGTGGATTGAAGCCTTAGGTTATTGAAAAATCTGAAATTTCATAGTATATAACATAAAATTGGAGATGGGCTACCATTTACTCTGTACACGACAGCTTAAACAGCTACATTATTCCTTTCCAGAAGTACACAAAGACCTGCACATGTCACAGATGAGTTTTCACATCTGTGAAGTGGGGATAATAGCTGTATCTACTTCAGTGGGTTATTGTGAAGATTAAATGAGTTAATATACTGAAGTGCTTAGACTAGTCCCTGGGGGATTTATATTGCATACATGGAGAAATGTTCTTAGGAGGAGGTTCTAGCTAGCTACAGATATGATACAGGGCACTAGTGAAAAAATATATGTCGAAAGAGGTAAATTTCAGAAATGGGAATCAGAGGCACAGATTCTTTCCCTCTGGGGAATATTTAGGAGCAGATATGCTAAGCCTGTTTTTCTTAAGCTGTAAGATGAATGCTCTTCTATAACAAATGTCATGAGAATCAGGTATTGTTCATTCAAGCACAGTGCTTTATATAAGTAGTAGAATTTATTTTACACACATTTTAAGCAAGCTGGTAGTTTAATGAATATTTATTATATTTAACATGAAGAAAAAACAGTAAAAGTCTGTAAAAAATGATCCCAATATGGTGATTCATTAGCTCTCATTCTTTTTTAAAATTATCTGTACTATGGGGAGGGGAAAATGAAAACATAAGGATTACAAAAAGAGCTTCATTTCCATTTGTAACGTTTTATTTCTTAAAACAAGGCATTGAAGCAGAAAGGCATACTGTTGATTTTTGTTTAATCTGGGCACTCTTAGAATACTTTCTCTATTATGCTGCATATTTGAAAAATGAAATTTTTCAAAGAGATGTAGCCCCCAGCTCATCTTTTGCCATACAACTGATTTTGCGCCATATTTCCACTCCCCTACTCCCACTCTGGTTCCCCAAATCTTTCCACCATCCTTACTAGAAACAGCAGAGTATTTTGCATCTTTACTTCGGGGATTTCCACTTGAGCCTCACCAATTTCGGTAAATACTAACCCCATTTTAATTTCATCTCAGCAAGCTCACTTGGAGAGCTTGCAGGGCTTCATTGTGAGAATAAGAGGTTTGCACCCGCTTTCCAGTGATGCAGCAGCGATATGAAACCTAGTAAAAATGAAACTTCAAGGGCAAAGTTGATCAGTATAAGCATCAGTTAGGGACACCAGTGGGTAGAAGTGTTATGGGGATGCAAGGCAGTCAAGGGGGGGGGATGAGGAAATGTCACGAGAGGGTCAGAGGAGGGGGGTGGGGACACTTGACTGCCAATTGCAGGCCTACTTCTGTTGCTTCAGTGATGGAAAGACAAGCAAGAAGGCAACTTGTTGATTGGATAAGAACTGCCAATGACCTATTAGCCCAGCTGGCCCTCTACCTCATGCTGACTTGAGTCAATATGCAACTTAAGCTTATTAATTTCTATAGAAGAATGAGGTCCCTTGAGTTGTACAGACTCCAGAGGACATCTCTCTGTGCTGGCAAGTCCGTGACTAATATTGAGCCCAGCACATAGTAAATCCTCCCCAATGCTTGTTGATGGAATGAATGACCATTGTCAATACTAATTTATCCTTAAATATGAACATTACAATCCATAGTAGTTGTTCAGCACATAAAGACTTATTGGTGTTTCTGTTGCCTCATTATTTTGCAGAGTGGCAAAGGGCTGTGTTCCCTGGTAGAAATGTTAGGGTGTGTAAAAACATGTTGTGAAGTGTGTCCTTTCACCCTCATCTGGTTGCTATCCCCTCGAATTCTCGTGGTGAATCCAGTTTTATTTAAAACTCTTGAAAGAGTTTTATTTTAAGCTCTTGAAGGAGAGTCTTATCTTCTGTAGGCTCTTGTATGTCATGTCAGGACCTTGTGAAATTTCAGTAAGTCATTTGATGAGTTCCCATTGCTTGGCAGACACAAAAACCAGCTGTGATTTTCAGAGAGAGAAATCTGTGCCTGCAGAACTCTGTTATCTTTGTCTCTACGTAGTCTTTAATCTCTTACACCAGGTAACAGATTTCACTGTTTTGTATCTTCCAGTGAAATAAACTAATTAAAGATCCCCCTTTGACTGTTTTGCTATCTCAATGCACTCATTTTGAGTTGCTTCCTTCAAATAGTTTGCTTCTGATACCTTTTATGAATTTCAAGTGTTATTCGTTTATTTTCTCTTTTATTCATTAAAAATGTAAGGAGCCACTCCTTCACTGTGTTATCCTGGATTGGTTTCATCCTATGTAAAACAAAGCCAGTAATGATATTTCTCTCACAATATGCCATTAGATAAGATGCCATCAAACACTAAATGCTAAACATAAAAAAACTTGTACTCAAGAACATTACCATCTAGTTAGGGAGATAGTGACCATAAATTTTATTGAATTAACAGGGCAGAGTTGACTTGCCAAGTGAGGGTATGGATGATCAACATTCCCAAGCATTTGTACCTGCTGTCTAGCTCAGAAATGATTTTCACCATTCAAGTCTATTCTTGTTCTAATCCCAGGCCAGGCAGAACCTACTGCGATCCCCTACCAGCTGAACTCCAGCTCAACCAAAGACCTCTCCTGTTCCCATCTCTGCTTCCCAATTCTACCTAAGCAAGCAGAATCTCTAACCACTCCCTGAACTTCAAGGCTGGTGAATCCACCTTCTTTTCAACCTGTACATGTCTTTCATGTTCTAAGATGACCACCTCCTTCCTCTAACTCTGACGTACGTTTGTGCGTAAGAAATTCTCTCCCTGGGTTGCCAGAAGCAAAATTCTTTCCTGTTCTTTACTAAAAAACCTGAGCCAGCTCTAACCATTAGCAGATCTTAGCCTGAGAATGCTGACTAGAAGCCGGGTGCTAGGTGAAGTGGGTGTTAAAGGACAAACAATTAGCTTTTGACGTTAGTCAGAAAATAAGTCCCTCCATAGTATAAACTTGTTTAACCTAAATTAATTTTGTCTTTTCTGCTGTTTTTTTTCTTTGAGGCTGCCAATTTTAGATATTCCTACAGTTTACCCTTTAAGCACAATCTACATTGATTTTTGTACACACTTTTCTTAGCTCCTCATTTTATTTCCTATATTTCTAAACATGTTCTCAATAATCTAATGCTTACCCCAGGGAACTCTGTTCCAATATTTTATTATACTTGCTATAATACAGCGTCTCTCTTTTCTTTAAGAAAACAATTGGGCCTTATTTAGGATCTTTGGAATGACAGATGTTAAGTGAGTTTCTTATCACCATGAAGCACTGGGAAGGTGAGGTGGATAATGCATACAGTCTGAAAATTAAATGGTTTGTGCCACTTCTCATCACAGTTCAGCAAGAATATTGTATTTCCAATGGAGTCTCAGAATCAGGCAGAGGCATAGATCTGTCCCTTTACTACACAATGACTAAGACCAACAGCACTCTTCAAGCTTATTAATTTAAATAGACAAAATGAACTAATTCCTGCCCCCACCGCAGCCATGCAGAATAGAGATGACGTACACATCCTAGTCTCCCGGGAACTGGAAGGAAGCCATCCTGGGAGGGTGGCACATTATCTCTCCATTGATGTCCACCCCCTTCCTTCTGCCACCCCTGCCAAATATGGGCAAACTCTAGTTAAAACAAACATCAAGGGTAAAGAAGTCTTGAAAAGTAAATGAGCTGAGAAGAATGGGCCAGGGCTTCTACATCCAGCTGCCTGGAAGGGAGCGAGGTGGTGGCAGCCAACATGTGAGCACTTCTTTCTTCCCTTCAGATTCTCTATGGGAGGTCTGGACTCAGGGTACTCAGTTTCTATGTATTTTGACAGGGTGTGTCAGTTCAAAAGCATAGAGCAGAGCTTTAGCACGGAGGAAATTGAACTCATTAATGTATTCCAGTGCACACATTGGAAAGCCCACAAGACAATTTGCATGCCCGATGACTGTGCTCAGTAGACCCTTCCCCTGCCATCTCCAAACCCTGCCTGATTGCTTCCATTTCTGATCTCTAGCATCTGATCTGAATCACATAACCCTACTCTATTTATCCACAGCTCCAGTCCTGGAAGTGCTCATGGTTAAGTGGGCTTAGGAGCTTGTTGTACATAGGTGCTTGTGTACACATCATTGCTCCCCAACTGGATTAAGCATTCATTGAGTATAGGCAGGATCCCTTTAGTCTTTGTATTCCTGAAGAATCTAGCACAATACCTAGGAGAGTGAAAGCAAAGTTATAGCATTATCCCCTGTCTTCCAGATGAGACAGCTTGAATGAGAGACACAGAAAGAATTAAAAAAGCTCTGTTATTTTCAGAGAAACAGTCTTCCCAGTGACACTCTGCCTGAAAGGCAGGCTTCCCAAAGCTACAATGCTAAGAAAGTGGCCTCTCAATATCCCAAGAGATGAGAACTTGGCATATTGAGGAATGGTTGCTTCCCAAGGGTTGGGGCATACCAAAGACAGGGCATAGAGCTGTAGATAAAGATTTATCAGACCAGAAAGATGTATGTAAGTCGAAGTTCACTGGTCAGTACAACCACAAACCTCAAGGGGACACTTTCGGTCAACAGATTTTGTTCTCATAGGTGTCCATTTTTCACTTTCTAAACTATCAATAAATACCTCCTTCCCTTTTCTTATTCTTAGCAGGTGACCTTGTTCTTTATTTCTTACTAAGAAAACAGAAGCACTCTATTCTACAAATCTCCACCTCCTTAACTACCCACCTTTGTCTATCAGCATCCATCATTCCTGTCTTCATTCTTGTAACCCTGAAAGGAACTAACTGTGCAGTGTCTAAGACCAATCCCTCTCTCCTGTGCGATTGGCCTCTTTCCCTTTCCCACATTATTAGTTATTATTAGTTTTTTTTCTTTCTACTGGATCTTTTCCATCAACCTGTAAATCAAAGCAAAACAAAGTTTTTCTTTATCCTGTATTCCATTTTGGCTACTACCTCAATTTTCTGATTCTTACTGTGGCAAAATGTCTGAAAGAGTTACAGTTTATTCTTGACTCCATTTATTTTCCTCCCCTTCTTTCTCTTGTATCCACTTAAGGCTTCATCTACACCACCCTACCAAAACAGTTCCCTTCAAGGTCACCTATGCTTTTCACATTGTTAAACACAATGATCAACTCTCAGGCCTATCTAATGTCACACAGTTGCAATATCAAAGTGCTATAGACTCAGTGGCTTCTAAATTATAGAAATCTATTTCTCACAGTTCTGGAGGTTGGAAGTTTAAGATCTGGGTGCCAACATTGTCAGGTTCTGGTGAGGACCCTATTCTAGGTTGTGGCCTGCAGACTTCTCATATGGTGGAAGGGGAGAGAGATCTCTGAGATCTCTTTTATAATCCCATTCATGATTGTTCCACCCTCATGACCTAATCACCTATTAAAGGACCCCACCTCCTAATATGATCCCATTGGAGGTTAGGATTTCAGTATATGAACTGGGGGTGGGCCATATTCAGTCCATAACAAAAACCCTACCTAATCTAACCTTCTGTCACCAATCTGTTCTCATTTCCTACTCTGCTTCTATCCTACTTCCACTCCAGTCATCTTGGACATTTAGTAGACCCTTAAACACTCTAAGAAAACTCCATCTTAAGGACTTGTGCATTTGCTATTCCCTCTGCCAAGATTGCTCCCCCACTGACATCTATATACCTTACTCCCTGCTTCCTTCATGTTTCTGCTTAAATGTCATCTTTTCAGTGATGACTTCCCTGACCAACTGCTACACTAATTAGCCCTCTTGCCCTCATTCCTTTTCTCTCCTTATCCGTTACCCTGTGTGTGTGTGTGTGTGTGTGTGTGTGTATGTGTGTGTGTGTGTGTGTGTACTTTATAACTCATCATTTGACAGAACAGGGTCCTGATAGGAAGCAGATATATTCATTGGGGTAATTTAATGAAAGACCATTTCCAAGGGTGTGGAGAAAGTTTAGAAAAACAAGCAGGGATAGTTAAGCTCCCAGGGTTTTCAATAGTAAGGAACTGTTTTAAGGTAAAGTTGGTGGCCCTGAAGAGACAAAGTAAGGGGGGCTTCCATGGTAGCGCAAGGGGTTAAGTTGCAGCATTATGAAGCTAACCGCAGCCCCTGCAGCATGGCAAGAGTTCAATCCCCGGTCAGGGACCTAACCCACAAGGTGGAGCAGACCACAGCAGACCACACACCTCAGCAGTGTGTTTCAGTCAATCTGCCTATTCTCTTCTCCACTCTGTCTCTGGTGAATCCTCTCACCCCCCACACCTCTGGCCTGTACCCCAGTTCTTGTATGCATAAGTAAATAAATATTTAAAAAAAAAAAGACCAAGTAAGGAAGCTAATACTGGAAGCTCAAGAGAGCTGTAATAATGGTGGAGAGACTTATATCAGGAGATGTGGGCTTCGACATAGGATTATAGCCTCTGCCAAATGACCACCTGTTAAAGGGAGGCCAAGGGAAAAATACCATCTTTCTTATGCTGACTTCCTATCTCCCTTCGGTGCCCTGCACTAGCCAAACCCAACCAGAAGCCAGAGATCAAGGAAGCCCAAGTGATGGGAATAGATAGAGGTCAGCCACCTGACAAGGTGGAGCAGGGTGGATAATAGATCTGGAGGAGCAAAGAGAGATTGTCTAGTTCATGTTATCTGTCTATTTCTTGATGATCTTTTTCTCTCATTAAGTTGTAAACCCCAAGGAAGCAGGAAATAAAACAGTGTCAGATACAAAGAGGTTGTCAATCATTACATCAAAGTGAATGACTATGTGTCAGGTGGGCATGTAGTGTGGTGTGAAGCAAGGTAAGAAGAATAGATGCGATCTGTGAACTCATGACCCTGTGACCATGTGGTGAAGGGCGGGGATTCACTTGGACAACCAGGAAACCTGATAGGCATCTTCAAGGCCAAATGGTCAAAACTGGACACAAAACACAGCCCAAAGCAGGCATCACAAAATGGAGCCAACTATGCAAGACACATAAAAGTGTTGAAAATATATAAAACTTCAGCTGCAGCAGCAACAGCAGCTATAGCAGAGGAAATTTGCTGGTAAAAGGAAAAAGTTTTTGCATAATGATTAGCAATCAAAAAAGCACAGTGACACCCCAAAAGCCCTCTAGTCATCAGGAAGATTAACATAAAAAGCAGAAACTGTATCTCCGTTGTTGTGCACCCACAGTTGGGCATACAGAATCCCGCTTAGTTACATGACTTTGGCACTGTAGCAGCCATGCATGGCATGGCACAAACTGTGGATGGATAAATTCATGGAAACCAAATTCTATTAAAATACACCACCATTTTATACTTGTCAAAGTCCTGGGTAGCCAGAATTTTAGTCTGGGAGACAGACTTTCACCAACAAAGTTCAGCAAATTTCTTTCAACTGTTGGGTGTGTCAGAGACAGCAAGCAATGAGCAGCTGGGGTGGTCACTGTAGACTAACCTGACTATGGGAAGCTTCCAAAGTCTGCCCTGCACACAACTCCTAAGCCCAGAGCAGCTGCTCAGAAGGCAAAAATAATTAGACACCACAACAGTTCCCTTATGGTTTGAGATTCTCTTTACCTTCTGGTCTAACGCAGACCCCTCTGGTATGTAGTGCTTTGGGCTATCGTTCTTTGAGTTTCTGCCTCATTTGAGATGTCTTTGAAGCTAGACACAGTGTGTGCCAGGCTGGGATAGAGGGCAGGTTGCAGCTTGCTCTCCACTTATATTTACAAAGGTTGCTTAAAAAAGAAAAGCTAAGTATAGCATCCTAATTCTCAAGTGACATAAATGCTGCTACAAATTGCCTCTCTGGGCACAGCAGAACTGGGTGGTCTTGTGTCTTTTGTCGTGGCTTCACCTTACCAACTCCTCTACACTGTCTTCCTCCCTCCTTCCCTTCTTTCCTCTTTTTTTCTTTCTATGTTTTACATAGGGCCTGACCCTGTCACTACCAGGTTTGATTAACTTAAGCAAACCCTTCATAGCACCCAGCTGCTGATTTCAGATGCAGACTGGGGAGATAAAAAACTGTCAAGAGGGGAAAATGGATGAGCAGCAGATAAATGGGGGGAACAGCAATTTGCTCAGACACGGCCTGCTACTTGTCTGGCTTATAATTAGAGGCATAAGAAATGTGTTTTTTCCTCCCAGTTTTGTACTCTGTTTTTCTTTTTCAGCAAAACATCTGAATCCCGTCTTTAGTGTGATCTTGTGCTATTTTGCTGGCAGTTCCACAATAGCCACCAACTTAGGGACTGCTGAGAGAAGCCAGCTATCGCTGCCAGAGAAAATGCATTCCTGAACCTGACATCTGGGTCTTGCAGCTGGAGTGAAGGAGGAGACAAAAACGAAGCAGTCCTGAGTGTCATCAAAGGCAGTTGATGGTGCCAAGTGAGTATGGAAATCACATACAGTACAGATGCCATTTTCAGCATCAGACAAATAATGTGGCTATTTAGGAAAAACAAAGATGTGCTTAGAAATTGATCATCTGTGTACGTGCAATGAAAGTGTTCGTAGCTTCTAGAGTGTGATAGAAAGGGACTGAGTGCTCATTTTCAAAATATTCACACTTTTTTCTAACTGTGATTCTGAAAGTGTAAGGCTGAAGTAGTCATATCCTCCTCCCCCTTCCCCCCTGCTTTTTATGAAAACAAGAGGGAAAAAAGAACTTGAACTCTACAAACACTGTCTACATGATGTTTAAGTTTTTCAAATTTATGCCAGCTTTCCTTGTAGGCAGCATTTTAGATTGCCTTGTGTGACAGACAAGGGAATATGAAAGCAAGAAAGTACACCCTGTTATCTACAGGCCGGGATCAATTACGAAGAATTAGTTCATTGTGCCCCTATTTCAAGGAGGAGGAGGAGGGGGTGAAAGAGGAAATTGCAAATGCTAATGAGCATGAAAACACCTTGCTCCTTTTTCTTTTCTTTGCTCTCTTGAGTTAAATCTGTTTGATTGGAGATTTCAGGATGTCTAGAGCCACCCGTATACAAGTTGGAGGCCCCTTTCAGAGTCACTTTGGTGTATGTAGAGTAGAGGTTGGGAGAAGCACGGGGAAAATACCGACTCCAGATCCAGGAACAAACCCTTTGGAAAAGGGCTGTATTACCTCTTCAAGATTTTTGTTATTTGTAAAACACACATTGTCAAGGAAGAGGCCTTTTTCTTTGTAAAAGTGTCTTCGTGAAGGAGAAGCCTGGCCGGAGGTGGGATTCCTCTAGACTAAATGATGACTTGAAACTGGAAATCTCATGTTTCTGTTGGAACAGCAAGTGGTTTAAGTGGTTCTTGTGTTTAACTATCCTTTGAAAATCTTATTTGTCTAAAGAGAAATCACAACTTGCCTGTCAAAATGATACTCTAGAACTTCATGGTAATGAATTCTGAGCATGCTTATCTCTAGAATTTTTTATAGGTGTGTTTAGGGCTGGAGATCTGTTCAAGCAGGGGTTATTGGGAGACTTGACTTGAAGCTGTGTTTGTGTGCAAGATCTCTGTTGTCACTTAGATTGTACAGTCAGTTTGTAATGACTTGGAGAACCGTAGAAACTAAAGCCCTTAAACCTCCTTCTTGACATTGCTACTGATCTTGTTCTGAGTCTGTGTTTCCTGAAGGGGGTACCAGTGGCATTTGGGAAAGAACCATTTTTCTTTATGTGGGACTCTCTCACACTGCAGAACTTTCAGCAATCCTATCCTGGCCCTGCCCATTAAACATCAGGGAAAACCAAATAAATCATTTCCATATTTCCAAATGCACTCATTGAGAAACAGGTCAATTCTAATCTTCTGGCAGATACTTTTTCTTTCGAGGAGCATTTGGGTGGAATTGAATAAATAGATGCATTACCAAGGCAGAGTCATGGACAGTGCTATCTGTAACAGTGACTCTCCCCTCCCCATACCATTTGCATGCACAGTACATGCCCACCAGCAACAGATCTTATTTAAAGAAATTATTTTAAAATTAGTTAGAGATTTAGTTTGAAAAACCCTTCCTTAGGGTCAGCACCCATAGGGGCCATACCTACTCCCAACCTCTGATTGAGTGCCCCTGCTCAGTCACAAGTGCTCTGGACTTGGAAGCCATTTTATCATGAAATAGCTGTTAAATGCATGTCATTTAACTTCTTAATGTCTCAAGTACCTCCTATATAAGGTGAGGATAATAATCTTTGTTTTACTTACTTGAGAGTGTTATGAGGACAAAACTATAAATATAAGAGTGCTTTAAGGAGTTAAAAACATAATAGATAAAATGGTGTGACCCCTATGGAAGATTGGATGGTGATTTCTCAAAAATATTAAAAATAGAATTATATGATTCAGCAATCTGGGTATTTACCCAAAATAATTACAAGTGGGATCTTGAAGAGATATTTGTACAACCATGTTCATATTTTTTTAAGATTTATTTATTTATGCATACAAGAACTGGGGTGTAAGCAAGAGGTGTGGGGGTGTGAGGATTCACCGGAGAGAGTAGGGAGCAGATTAGGGAGATATACTGAAATACATTACTGAGGGAAGCAGCGACTGAGACAGGAGAGTTCTGCTATGCCATGTAGGTTAGCTCCCTGCCTGGCCTGGGATCGAACTCGTGCTGTAGTGGCTGGAAGTAGCTTGATAGCACACTCTTTAACCCCTGTGCCACCAGAGAGGCCCCCAACCATGTTCATATTAACGCTGTTCATAATAGCTAAGAGTTAGAGAAGTATCCCAAATGTCCATTAACAGATGAGTGGATAAACAAAATGTGATATATACACACAATGGAATACTACTCAGGCTTAAAAAGGAAAGCAATTATGTCACATGTTACAATCTGATGGACCTTGAGGACATTATGCTAATGAAACAAACCACTTTAAAAAAGAAAAAAAGTGTGTGACTCCACTTACTTAAGGAATCTAAATAATCAAATTTATAGAAACAGAAAATAGGGCCTCCCTGGTGGCACAGCGGTTGAGCACTGGGTTGCGAAGCTGCCCGCAGCCTCTGCAGCAGCCTCCAGGCGAGGGTCCCACATGATGCGCAGACCTCTCCTGCTGCCCGCTGCTCCCCTCAGCAGTGTTCTTCGGTCCTTCTGCCTGCTCTGCTCCCCTCTCTGGCTCTGGTGAATTCTCTCACCCTCCTGCACTTCTGACTGTACCCAGTGCTTGTGTAAATAAATAAATAAATCTTTAAAAAAAAAAAGAAACAAAATAGAATGCTGTTTATCAGGGGCTGGGTGGACAGGAAAAAGGGAATTATAATTCAATAGGTGGAGCTTCTGATTGGTTAGATGAAAAAGTTCTGGGAGATCTGTTATACAATGTAAATATACTTAGCACTATTGAACTGTACACGTCAAAATGGCTATGATGGTAAATTTGTTACTTTTTTTTTGCCATAATTTTAAAAAAGCTTGATAGAAATTGAAGGTATTGGTATCAGTCATAACCTGGAACAGCAGGAGCACTTATTTATTTCCCAAGTTATATAAGTTATGTTAGCAGGTCCACTGCCCTGGATTCTTCCAGAAGACTTTTATAGAGACACATGTCAGGAATAAATCAGGCACAGTATTAATTTAGGAAAGTAATCTTAAAGTGGGAAATATACTAGAATCCTGAAGAAAATCTTTTTTCAAAAAACACAGGTCAGGATTCCTGGCTCCAAATAACAGAAGCCGTTCTAGTTAGCTGTATCAGTTAGGATCCTCCAGAGAAACCCAACCAATAGGATGAGTATATATGTAGAAGGTGATTTAAGGAATTGGTTTACCAGAATATGAGACTGGGAGTTCAAAGTCTGCAGGTGGACCAAGTCAGAAAGCAGTCTGCTGACAGAATTCCTTCTTGTTGGGGTGGGTGTCAATCTTTATTCTATTCAGGTCTTCAACTGATATCTGGGTGCCACTGCACAGTCAAGTTGACATATAAAATTAATCATCATGTTAGCTTAAATAGAAAAGGAATTTACCAGTGTCCTATCAGAGATTTCCCCTAATTGTTGGGAAGGCTAAGAAGCAGACTGGAAAATAGGCAGGAACTGACATAACCTAGAGAATCTGCACCCTCCTTGCATGCCTAACTCTATGACTACCTCTGTTCTGTCACTGCTCCTGGACACTGGACACCTAGCCTGATGCACTGCCTCTGGCACTGATGTCTCTAAACTGTAAACCTATTCTCTGTTGCTTTTTTCAGATCGAAAGTCCAAGGTAGGACAACCTGATAAACTGAGTCTTGTATGTGTGCCATGTCTACCAGGGGACAAAATAATAAGCACCTGGCATTTTCAGCCTTATGATGGGAGGCAGGCCCTGCTTCTAAGTTAGACACACAATGGGGAATTTCCCAAGCAGTCATCTGTGACTACTCTTTTAGCAATCAAAACAATGAGGGGCCTGTTCATATTTTGCACAGAACTCTTTAATCTGACATTACCCTACTTCATGACCTTTCTCTAAAATTTAAAGTACAAATGATCTGTCCCTATGTCTTCTGTTGGTTCCTGTTCCTCTTGTCTCCTGTGGTTGTCATTAATGCTGTTCACCTATAATTTCCTATCCCTGTGGATTCATGATTGGATTAACCTTCTCAGCCCCTTGAGGTTGAGTGTGAACATGTGCTTTATTTTGGCCAATAAAAAGTGAATGGATGGCCCTTCCAAAAGTGAGTGGTGACTATAGTTAATAATAATGTATTGCATATTTGAAAATTTCTAAGAAAATCTTAAAAGGAAAAAAAAGTACATGTACGCAGCTTCTATATAGAAGCTTTATGAATCTGTGCCTAATTTGCTATACTTCTCCCTGCCTGACATCTTACTTCTCCATGACATGGTTGGTGATCATAAAAGTACATGCCTAGGCAGAGCCACTGAGCCTGGTTCTCCGAGGGATTGTGGTAAGTGAACTATCAGCCAACTACTTGGACATGAATCAAGAGAAGAAATAAATCTTATTGCCATAAAGATTTTAGGTTGTTAGTTACTGGGGCATGACTGAGTCTATCTTATCAGCCTGATCTAGCTGATAGATTCCCTCCTGCCACCCTCAGTAGAGTTTTCTCAAAATCTTGGTTCTCCTTTTTTATCCCTCAAAAAGCATATCCTGTTGTAGCTTCAGCTTCTACCTCCATATACTAAGTTCAGTTGTATGTCCTCCCTCAGATCCTCACTTCCAATTTTCACTTGGATACCACTACATTTTTAAAATGTGTAGAACTGAACTCCTCCCAGAAGAATGCACCTTCTCTAACTCTCCTATATCACTCTCAACTTTCTAGCCACTGAATTCTAAATATGAAGAACCTCTTTAACTCATTCTCTGCCTTCACCCACATGTCTTATTAGTCACCAAGTCTTCTTTTATCTTCATTTGTGAAATCTAGAGTTCATCTGTAGTGCTAACATCTGCCATTTCCCAGAGTACCTTGCAGCTAGGGCAAGGCATGTGAGCAAGTCCACTGTATTCTTTTGCTAGTTCTGCCATAACAAAGTACCACAGAATAGGTCTCTTAAACAATAGAAATTTTACAATTCTGGAGGATTGAAGCCCAAAATCAAGCTGTTGGCAGTTTTGGTTTCTTGTGGGTCTTCTCTCTTTGGTTTGCAGATAACTGTGTTCTCATTGTGTCTGCACATGGTCTTTTCCCTGTGTATATTTATCCTTAGTGTCTCTCCCTCTTCTTATAAGGACACCAATCATATTATGTTGAGACACTGCCATTATAACCCTTGCTAATGTACCTTTAGAGGCTTTATAACTAAATACAGTCACTTTGGTGGGGTTAGACATTAACATAGAAATTTGCTTCATATTTCAACCAAGTCTGGAATATTCAGTTCATAACAGTTTCCCAGTCAACCGTGTTGACTCAGGAGTTAGTAAGAAAGGATGCCATGACAGCAATTGTGACAGAAGCCAAGGTCAAATGAGCTCCTGGTAAGGAATTCACAGGGGGATGGCAGCAGTAGAAATTGGTCTAAATTTGAGTGTCAGGCTCATAAGTTTCTCAGAAATGGCACAAAAATGGCAATACAAACTGAAATATCTGGTGCTGCTTGGTGGTAGCAGCTGTGACCAACTCATCACACCAGTTCTTCAAAGAGATGACATCATTTCTCAAAGTTTAACTTCAAGGGTGACTCTCCAATCTTCTTGACAATCCAGCTTTGCCTTGTATTTATGGTACATGAGTAAAACAATGTGGTTCTTGCAGGCTATTTGGAATAAATAGTTATTTGATACAACTTCCATGTCATGACTATGTCTATACAGTGTTTTGATCAAATATTTTTATATCTATTGAAATAGCAGTGATTTGGAAATTTTCAAGGACAAGAAAAAATATTGTACTTAGAACATCTGCATATTAATGGCATCAGCATAGAAATGACTTGGCAGAGCCTGGGTCTCCATTATCCTTTTAATAAACTCCCTTTGTACCTAATCATTTATATTTGTCTTCCACTACTTGAAGTTTAAAATCCTGATTATGATTATGACAATAGGCTCCTAACCTGGTGCCTATACTCTATCTTAAAAACCACAGTCAAACAAATATTCCTAAAACATTGCTTTGACCCTGTCTATCTTTGATCTACAAGTTCTTAAGGAAACTTGGATATTATTATTTTAATTTTCTGTCCTGCATGTTGCAAGTGTAGGAACATGAATTCAAGCTAGGATTAGCAAAAACAATCATTTATTGGCTGACAATGCCATGAAGTTCAAAGTGGTAGATAAAAGGTCAGGCATTCAGAAATAGTTGCATTTAGGGCCTCCCCGGTGGCGCAGCGGTTGAGTGCTGGGTTGCGAGGCTGCCTGCAGCCTCTGCAGTGCCAGTTCGATCCCCGGCTGCTCCCCGGCCACCAGAGGAGGGTCCCACATGGTGCGCAGACCTCTCCTGCCGTGCCCACTGCTCCCCTCAGCAGTGTACTTCGGTCCTTCTGCCTGCTCTGCTCCCCGCTCTGGCTCTGGTGAATTCTCTCACCCTCCCGCGCTTCTGACTGTACCCAGTGCTTGTAAAAATAAATAAATAAATAAATAAATCTTTAAAAAAAAGTTGCATTTAGAGGCTCAAAATATATCATTAAGATTGTATCTTTCTTCATTCCTAACTTCTTTCATGTGTCAGCAAAGATAACCCTCATTACTTGACTTTTGAAAGAAAAAGATGTAAAGTTTCTACTTCTCCTTCCTCCTTCACCTCCTCCTCTTGGCCCCCCCCTCGATTTTTAAGGGGCCAATTGATGTCCAGAGGGTTAGACTCTAACCTAACAGCCTGAGCTGTTTACCAGCCGCTAAGATGGGTGAGAGGTATCCACAACCCCTCTAGGTCAGGGATGTCAATTCTCCAAAAGAAAAAAAATTGCAACAGAATAATTTTAAAATAGATCAGCTTTTGAGGTGATGTATTCTCTGTCCCTCCAACTCACACTTACTGATTTCCTGTTCTGTCAGTGGGAAGTCATCTCTGGTATTTTGGACCCTAGGATGACCCAGCATTTCCTAGGAAGAAATTACCTGTGTTTGAGAGAAACAAGATTTCTCTGAAAGTGAGGGAAAATTGTCCACAAGGCCAGAGCGCTGTCTTTCTGCTTTTCCACAAGACTTCACTGCTTCTGAAACTAGCCTAATTCACTTTTCACTAGTGCTGGCAACATCATCAACCCCTTTTTCCCCTCACAGCCCTACAGGAGGCCCTATGTGGTCTATTGACAGCCCACTCTCAGCACCCAGGGAGAATTGGACCCATTGTTTCATGGGGTTTCCTTTAGGCTAATCTGAGGAGTGTGAAAGAACCCTTTTAAAGGGGTCTGATGAATAAGAACAAAATAAAGATCAAACTCAGGCACAATCAAAAGCTGTTTGTTAACAGGCAAGATGTTCTTCAAAGCCTTTATCAGGAGCCAGGGGAGACTTATCTTGCAGCACTATGTGGAGAAAGTAGGCGGGTCTGGGGTATGTATTTGAAGTTCTAAACAGATGACTGCTGACCTGGCAGCTGGGCTCAGAATTATCAGTACTTCTCTTGGAGTAAGTGGGCAGCGCTGGTAGATAAGGGTCTGGGAAAAATAACAAGTCATGTAGTAGGTAATGTTTATTGGAAATGTCCTCCAAACCCTTCTGTCTTAGCACACACTTCTAGGAAAGAGTCACATGCTATAAATTAGAGAAGCTTTTTCCTAATCCTAGCTCTTGTTTAGGAAATGAGCTATCCTGATGTCACATAAGTCTACTTTTCAGATGATAAACATACAGAGACATTGGTTTCCTTAACCAGCACTGATGTGGAACATGATGGTACTTTCAGGTCTGGCTCTCTAATGCCTGCTACTAATGGTAATAAGTGACATTTTTTGAATCGCTTCCAGAAAATACCAGGCAGATACTGTATCCAAATGATCTCGTTTGAGCCACATCATACCTCAGACTCTTATTTTCCTCATTTTCTAGATATATAAACTGAGGCCTTGAAAATTCTCCATTTTTGTACTTCACTTAAGGTTTTACAGCTAATACATTACAGAGTTGGAATCTGAACTTGTGTGGTTGGTTATATCCAAACACTATGCTTTTAATCATTTATCACACTGCCATTTCAATGGTCACAGTCTACTCTTCAAACACTTTCTTCTGTAAACTTCTGGAAAATGACACTGTCTTGGTTCTCCTCCTGCCTTGCTTGGACACATGGTAATCTCCGTGATTCTCTTCTCCCCAGCAAGCTCTCTCTTTCCAGGGTTGATGGGCCTGGGTCCTCAGACCCCTATCTTAAGAGTATCTACTTAATAGCCAGGTGATCCTCCACAGGTGATCTTAATAGCCAGGAAGCAGAAAGCACAGCACATGGCATTGAGGCTAAAATTTCTAAATGCTTTCCATTGTAACCAGAATAAAATCTAAGGTTATTGCTGTCGCCTTCAAGGGCCTATATCAGATAACTACTGTTGCCAGGCCATTTATTCCTGACTTGCAGCCAGAGGATTACATAGATTCTTCCAGGTCTTTTGATGTCTGTTCCTTGTCATCATTTGGGTTTTAACT